CCGATAGCTGACCGGCCATCTCTTCCTGCAGACTGCTCCTTTTGCTGCAACAAAGCACAAATAGAGGCATGGCAATACGTTTACAAGAAAATGTTATCCAACTACACCCCTTATCATGTTTGAGACTCAAAGGAGTGTAGTGCTCGACTCTCGAGCCATCAATCACGCATTTCGATCCATGATGGCCAAAGAGGCCGAATTGCACAATTCAATGTGAATGAAATGCACAAAAACACGTAATTGCCTTAAACTCTATCATGTTGGATCAAGAGGGTCGGCAACCGAGGATTGAGACACATTTCATCACTTCAAGTATGAAACGTCCCTCGTTCCTTGTGTTTGGTTCAACACCCAAACCAAACACAATGCAATGTAAGCATATGGAGATGTTATGGCAATACAACACAAGCATGCCAAATTCAATGTACCAAGCATGCAAAATGCAATGAAACCTAATCATGCAAGCATGCAATATACCAAGCATGAAAAATTCAATGCAACCATAATAAGCATGCGACAACATGCAAACTAACAAGTATGCAACAACATACAAGATGGATAAGCATGCAACAACATGCAAAGATGGACTAGCATGCAACAACATGCAAACTAGCAAGCATGCAACAACATGCAATGTGACAAGCATGCAACAACATGCAAAGATGAACTTAAACCAAAATGGGCAGACCTCAGCCGTGCCCAAATCAGTGGCCAAAGTGATGAAACAAAGACATGAAATGCAAGACAAGCATGCATGCCAATTGGCTCAAGAAGTAAGGCATAAAGAGGACAACTCTCAAGAGCACTTAAAGAGTGAAAAGCATGCAAGTGTGATAACACCATAAACTCTGAAATCATGCATAGAATGGTGCCAAACCACTCAAACAAGTCAAGCATAGCATGCAATAAAACTCAAAGCTTAAAACTAGAAAAGGAACTTAAACCATGGCCACACAAAGCAAGCCCCAAAGGGCCAAGGGCACCCAAAAAAGTCCCAAGGCAGGTCAATACAAGACCAAAAACATGCCCAAACCTAGCCAACACAAGCTAGAACAAAGACCAAAAACAAGAAGCATGCAACGTTAACAAGGGGTGTTACACTACACCTATCAAACCCAAACATAACATGACTTAACCAATAAAAATCAGAGTTATGGCATGTCAAAATAAGCCCGAAAGCCCACTGAGATGGCATCCTAAAGGCCTAAGCATGGAGGCATGCACAATGGTCCATTCTTGAGGCATAAAACACAAACCTCCCAATGCATGGAAAAGGTGACAAATGCAAGTGTATGGCTATACTACATGGACTGAAATCACATATGAAATGATGCCAAATCATGAAAATGGCCTAAGCAATGCATGCCAATGACTTGGACACTTAAAGCTAACAAGCTAGATTGAACCATGGCTATACAAAATAGTGCATGCATGACTAAAACAATGTAAATTAGAGCTAGAGCATGATAAAACAAGGCTAAAAGCCCCTTTGAGTTGAATCAAAATATGCAAGAATGATGGTCCAAATGCATGATGCATGTTAAGGCAAATGAGAGGATTGTAGGACAAGTGCATGGAGCATGCAAAATGCTATCAAACCAACCTTGGACAGAGGTATAACATGGCAAAGTAACACCGAATACTTGCTGAAATAGAGCCAAAACAAGCTAAGCAAACATGCTACCATTATGAGCCATCAATACAAGCATACAAGACAACAAGGAGAGGGGATGACCCTCTCCTATTCAAGACTCTAAAACCACCTTTCCACCACTGAAAATCCTCTAGATTTCAGTGGTAGAAAGGTCGTGCAAAGGTTAGAACAAGAGCCAAAAGGGATGGCTCAAAACAAGGCCTAAGAGGGGGTAGACCACCCCCAACCAAAAAGTGACCTTAAACAATCATCATAAGCATGAAAAATCAGAACCTTTTACAGTTTAGAGTTAAGCTTAAAACAATATGCAAATAGGTCTAAAAGCTTAAGCCAAAATGGGGGATTAAAAGGTAGTTGACTCACCCTTGAAGAACACCTTCAAGAACACAACTCCAGCACCTTTTCTGAGCTTAAACCACTCCAAGAACTCTGAAATCAACTCCTAAGGACCTCAGCAACCAAAGGATGGTGTTCTACTAGGTGTTTGTGTGCAATAGTATGAAGAATCTACACTTTTGAGCACAAACAAGGGTAAAACAAGAGAGAGAGGTAAAATATAGAGAGAGACATATAGAACTTGTATATCAACTTTTTAGAACCTCTGGAAAGGGAGGGGAGGCTCCTTTCTTATAGAATTTCAATTCTCAAGCTTAAGTCTTGAATGCAATCCCTCCATACACGTGTATGGAGGATGAGAATTGTGCCCACCAGCTGTTACAGCTGACACAAAATATCTGCAAAAAGTAGATGGAAAGGTCTCGGCTCAAAAATATGGCCGATCGATCAAAAAGAGTGCCGATCGGCCAACACTTATGGCCGATTGCAAGAAAACAAGGCCGACGGCACAAGGCCTTAGCCGATGGGTTGAGGGGATGGCCAACAAGCCACCCTCTTCCCTCAGAACCAAAACCACAAGTCCTTGGTCCATAACCAAGCACAAAACAGACAAGTTGAGAGATCCTAAGGCAAGGCGCGCAGCCGAAACCTTCGAGAACTCCAAACGAACACAAGCATGGATGATCGTCGAGTGTTCAAACGATGACGTCCAAGTCTTGAGGACGGTCAAAATGGGGTGTCTACAGTTCTTTATGCCCTAAACATGAGTCATTGTGTATGTCTTCATGCCTAAGCTTGCGAGCTATCATTTCAGTGTGTTTTTGGGGTTATTTTTCCATGATATAACTTTGATTTTTGTTGGCGAAGCCATCTCATGCTCTTAAATAAGTACACATTTTTTATCTTTTTATCTTTTTTCCATCACATCATCTCCCTACTTTTCTCCACATCTTTTCATAAAAAGACAAAAAATACACTTATTTAGGTCATCCCAAACAGAATCCGGATCCTCCGTCGCCCTTTCCTGCAGCGCGTCCCTGTCGCCCTCCAAAACGACGTCGTTTTGGAGGGTTTTTTTTTTTTTTTTTTTCTTTCCTTCTTCTTCTCACTGAGCCTACCTCTGTCCTAGATACCATCCGAAGCCCAAGCCCTCCTACTTCAACCTCAACCCTGTCTTCTTCTTTGGGCGGCGGCTATGTACATATATAAAAAAAAACTTGAGGATCATAGATTCAGAATCAATCAGCAAACCATTAATACAAGTAAATTTTTTTTTCTTTTTTCTGCGTTTTTCTGCAGATTTTTCATCAACACATTTTTTCTTTTTTCTCTTCATCATCTTCTGTAGATCCACAGATTTTTCATGATGAAAACAAATCTTCTGCAGATTCACAGATTTTTCACCAAAAATTTGAAAAAAAACAAATTTAGATCAACAAATCTTTTTTTTCTTTTTTCTGCGTTTTTCTGCAGATTTTTCACAACAAATTTTTTATTTTTTCTCTTCATCATCTTCTGCAGATCCACAGATTTTTCATGATGAAAACAAATCTTTCGCAGATCCACAGATTTTTCACCAAAAATTTGAAAAAAAACAAATTTAGATCAACAAATTTACCATTTTTTTCCAGATCTGGAAACCTGATTTTTACAGATCTGGAAACCTGATTCAAACATATCTACAAATCTAATTCAGAAAGATTACCATAGCTGTGTTGAAAAAAATTACCATAGCTGTAAAATCAAATCTACACAGATTACTTGTATTATTTTTTCAAATCTGGAAAAAGCCAAATAGAAATGTTAATATATATATATATATATATATATATTCTGAAAGATTTGGCGGTTTTGGGATTGTAGATCAAGGTTTTGGGTTAGACATGGTTTCAAGTGTTGGGAATTTTATGGGCTCTATTAAGAATAAGAAACTTTCTCTCCCCCCAAACACACCAATTCTCACAAATTACAAGCTTCCAAACCCTCAAATTACAACCCACCGCAGCAATGTCAACAACAGCAGCCACCACTTGAATGCTCAAATGTGAAGCCTCAGATTTTCAATCCACCAATAGGGTATGTATGTATACTAGGTATGTGATACAATTGACAAGAATAGGGTATGTATTAAGATATCTGTAAAACTGGTTAATTAATACAGAACAATGAATCGATTATTTAGAAGTAACTCATCAGTCAGTTCTAGGTCGACTACCTTGCCTTCTATACCTAATCCCGGCATCATAATTAATGAAGAAGATGTTGAAATACAAAATGATCAGATTAATTCTGGATGGAATATTCCAAAACTACCTATTAAAGAAATTTATAAAACTTCGTTTATACAGGATGTTTTTAAAGTTACTCTCCATGTGAAAACTATTGAACAAGTTTATGCTTTGGAAAAATCCAGAGAAACCTGTCAGTTATTTGATAAAAAATTAATCAAACGACATTTAGATCGTGGTTACAATTTTATGCATATTGGTTTAATGCAAATTGGTGTCAATCCATTAACAATGATAGGACAAAATACTTCTGTTTTACTCTGTTTAAGAGACGCTCGTTTTCTTAATTACAATGCTAGTTTAATGGAAATGATGGAAACTGGTCTTAATAAAGGTCCCGTTCATTTTAACTGTTTTCCTGATTTTACATTAAGTTTAAGAGATCCACATATTCTCAAAGCATTAACACTGAACATTCAATTACATGGTGAATATACTGAAATGTTAGATTCTTCTCATAATATTGCTTTAATTTATCGTGTTCATTATAAATGTATAAAAGTTAACATGCACAGAGGGTATTTACATAAAACCTATTAAAGAGATTTATAAAACTTTATTAATCCAAAGTAGTAGTACTAATGAATCAAATATTAATATTCCTCACATGATTGAATGGAAAGATATTAATTTACCTGATCAATGGGTTACTGTTAATGAAAATTACAAACATAGTCAACAACAATCTTCAATCCAAGACATTCAACATATCCAGCAAAACAATGATGGATCAGTTAATATCAAATTTAATCGAAGTCAATCTTCTAGACATAGTACATCTAGTGTCCCTTCCGAAATATCAACTGAAGATGAAATATTTAACACTCCTCTATTTAGGAAAAATAGTCAAATCCATCTTGGCCCAACTAATCCAACTTCTAAAAATAAATTAAAAGGAATTGATAACTCTACAACTTCTCAAATTAGTAAACCTGTTTACACTGCTCAAACACAGTTACCCGAAGAAGATATTGCTTCACATAATTCCCCAACTCAAACTGATTTTGAAGAATTTATACAACCGGTAAATCCCCAGCTAATGACAATCAAAAAAGATTTTACCCCTGATTTAGATAAATTACTTATTGAATTCCGATCTAAAGAAAATAAAACTAAGCGACATGCTTATAGTGCTAAATATAATTCTGTTCAACAATCCAGAATAACTAGAGAATGGTATAATTTCATGGTTCAATATGGTTTTGAATTATCTTTCTTTGATTATATGGATCAATATTACAAAAAGATTAATACAATTACCAAACATAAATGGAAAACTTCTCCAAATACTTCTGTCA